GGTCTGTGTCCAAGCACGTGATACTAGATGTGTTTCCTCCTGTGGAAAGAGCCTTAAAGCCAATCAGAAAGCAGTTGGTTACCCCACACAGCATCAGGCCGCTGTTTCACCATGGACATATTCTGCCATGCTGGTCGTTACTATAGCTTGGTGTTCACAGCTGAGTTAAGATTGTTGGTAACTCCATCCCACTCCCCAGAAGCCTGCATAGAACCTTCTGGTACCATGAAAATCAGCCAGCAGGAAGTCAATACCAACTTGATTTGCTCATGTGCTGTGACCACTGTGCCACCAACACCAAGTATTAGTTGGCTGTCAATCACCCTGACTCCACCCATCTGCAGTGTAGGGAATCATCCGTTTGTTCCTCCCCTAGGTTCTTTTCAGATTCCCCAGCACCAGCCATCTGGTAGAGCAACCCAGCTCTGAAAAGTCAATGTTTTGCAAACCATATTTTCCTGCTTTCGAGAAAGCTAGCTCTTAGAAGTATATGTGCTCCAGCTTTCTCCAAAGAACATCTCTATAACTGTGGGTCTGACCTCAATGGAGCCACAGAACGAAGTATGAGTCACAAAAGCAACAGTAACCATTTTCCGAGTTCAGTGACCGAAAAACTGATTTAAATCAGGTGTGTAACAAGCCCAAGGTTTTTCCACCTTTGTGGTAATGCATGCCTTCACAGCCTCCTCAGCTGTAAACACGGTGTGTGCACTCTGCATGACAAATTCAAAAGGAAGATTCAATTCTCAAAGTGACTGTGGAAGGCACCCATAGGCCTCAGGTCATGCAAACCTCGATCCTAGCCCCTCCCACTCCCCAGAAGACTCAGTGAGTAAAGGTACTTGCTCCACACCCTGAGTACTGGGTTCGATCCTTTGAACCCACATGATGGAAGAGCTGACTCCTGAAGGTTGTCATCTGACCTCCACACACCCTCTGTGGCACACACGTCTGTATACCCCCGCAAACAAGGGTATGGGGGGGGGGTGAAAGAAAATGCACACACCGAACACAGGTCTCTTGAAGATACATCCACAATGGATGAAGCAAACTCTTCAACAAGTTTTGGTTTGTTTAATTTTAATGGATGGATGTGGCCGATGTCCGCCATACACATGCAGGTACTCCCAGAGACCAGAAGAGGGCATGAGATTACCCGGAAGGACCTGGAGTTACAGGAGGTTGTGAAATACTCAGCAGGGATTCTGGGAACCAATCTTTGTTCCCCTGGAAGAGAGCAGGTACTCTAACACCCAGGCTGGCTCTCAACTCCTGATATTCCTGCTTCTGCCTTTTCAGCATATCCTACTAGCAGTGGACACCACAACCAGCTCAATAATGAACTTCTAACTTTGGCAGGTGACTCTTGTTTGCAGACACGATCTGAGCTTCCACAATCACGGGGCTCCTTTCTTTCACTAGTATCTGCGACGTGAGCCTCACCACCCCCAACATTTACGTCCTCCACCACGGACCACTAGCCATGGACCACAGCCTGGCCAAAGGAGTCCTTCAGCGTATCGGATAACTGACTGCTAGCCTGACGAGGAAGGAAGCTAACTCACCTGAGGCTAAGCGGTTTGGAGCTTGACTGGTGTCCCTGACTTCATGCACTGTCTTATGGCCTTAAATAAGCAGAACCTTAGAGGCCCGGAGAACAGCATGAGTGCGAGGGACCTCCCACTGTGACACCTCAACCTCCGCTGACACCCCCGTCCAAAGCCTTCCTGCCTCCCACGCGGGGGACGTCTCCACTTTCCAGCGCGCTTACAAGGCACGCGGGTCTGACAGCGAGGGACCGACATCATTTGCGGTCAGAGATTATGCTCCGCGCCCCGAGGGTACCCCCAGGGGCCCAGTGCATCTCGGGCGCTCCCCACCACACACACATCAGATTGTCCGCTCGTGGCAGGCTGGGATCGCAGAAGGAAGGTCCCACTTCTGACTCAGCACCGGCCGCAGTGGGTCAACGGCCAACTGGCCGGAACTCCCTACAGGGCCAAGCCCCGACCCGGAAGCGCTAGCACACTCCGGCCGCTCTAGGCGTTCCGGAGGCCTCATATCGGTGATAACACCGCCTCACCACCTAATGATGCGGCGGAGTAGGAGGAGTTAGGTGTCTTAGGGCGCCTGCGCACTTGCGAGAGTTTAAAGGGGCTAACACCGCGTCTGCTCTGGAAGAGCTCAGGGGTGCCCACTGGAGCGGCTGGTGGTGAGCGCTGCCCACTCGAGGCATAAATTATATAAATTCGCTTGAGCGATTTCTCTGGCACCAATTTTAAATAGCAACATTGACTGGGGAAAAAAAGTCACACCTCCACAAAGATTGGACATCAGTCTGCAGTTTCTCATGCTGATGTGGCCAGAAAATTGGCTTAGCCGGTCAGTTCCCGGCACCAGGTGGCTCAATTCAGCGCCAGCAAATCTAACGCCCTCTTCTAGGCTGCCTGACACTGCACTCACAGCATATACCCACAGACACAGAAATCATTCTAAAAAGTATTTCAATGATGGGTTGGAAGACCCAGCAGTTAACACTTGTTCTTGCAAAGGGCCAAGATTCAATTCTAGCACCCAAATGGTGGCTCAATATCATCTGTCACTCCCATTCCAAGGGACCACACCCTCAGACACCACACACTATGAGGTGAAGACCTAACATGCTGGCAAAACTCATTTGCATAAAAACAAATCTTTCTTTAAAATGATAAAGCAGTAAAAGTTGTAAGGCAGAAAAAGTTTATTTCTCACTAGATGCGATGGTACTTACCTGCAATGCCAGCACTTCAAAGGCCTAGGCAGGAACCAGAACCCCTACCTCAGACAATCGAATGTTCGAGGTGTGTGGTGGTTGGAGGCCTCTGCTGAAGGCTAAAGCAGAAAGTCCGCTGGAGCTCCGAAGCCAGAATGGCAAAGAGAGACCTCATTTTCTGAAAGTTAGCAAGTCCACAGCAGTCCCAAGCTAAGAAATCCTCCGTAGGTAATCATAAACACCCCCAAACACCAATCACCAAATACTTCACTGCAGTAGACATGCCTTTCAAACTTCTGACTCCCGGGAACCTTTTCTCCAAGAGTTCAGTCCCCTCCACCCCCACCCTTACCTCAGACTATTCCAGTAAACCCAGTTCCAGGTGCTAAGTTCTAAACACCAGCATTGCGGTGCAGTAAAGAATTGGCCCTCCTGCCAGCAGCCAGAGGCTCTGGTACAGAAATCACTTCCTACAGTCCTTTAATTCCCAGCCCCGGGAAGAAAACTGCTGCTTCCCAACAAATCACTTGCTAGTTGAAAGCAATACACGTTCTACCCCTCCCCCACAGGCAGATGGGGAATCCTGGATGGCAAGGCTGGAAATCTCAAGACTATAAAGTTGAGCACTACTTTCCCACAAGCCTCCGCAGGCCACCTCTTGGACTATCTACAATTCTACCACGTAGAGTTCTTCCTGCCAGCAGTGCTGTCAACCCCTACTTCTTACAGTGGGGAGGGTGCTACTTCATGAAGCCAGACATGGTTTTTCTAAATTCTGTAAGGTGAGCTCAGAGCAACTGTGTGTGATGGCTCATTGGAAAATCAATTATCCCATTTGTATCTTTTTTTTAACGATTTATTTATTATATATGAATACACTGTAGCTGTCTTCAGACACACCAGAAGAGGGCATCAGATCTCATTACAGATGGTTGTGAGCCACCATGTGGTTGCTGGGATTTGAACTCAGGACTTCTGGAAGTGCAGTCAGTGCTCTTAACCACTGAGCCATCTCTCCAGCCCCATTTGTATCTTTTTATCCCTTTCTCAAAAGCCCTAAATACCGGAAGAGCAGTGGTGACATGTGTACACACACACCTTTAATCCCAGTGCTTGGAGGTCAGAGGCAGGCGGATTTCTGAGTTTGAGGCCAGCCTGGCCTACAAACTGAATTCTAGGACAGATAGGGGCTACACAGAAAGCCTGTCTTGAAAAAAAAACCCAAAAAACAAACAAAACAAAAAACCCTAAATACGAGCCCATGAATAGGTGGCTTATGGAATGAGACCATCACCTTCCTGATAGCAGAGGGCCCAATGTGTGCTCTTAAGTGCCTAGACATGAGCGTTTTCAACTTCCTTCCCACTCTCTAAGCTAATCAGGACAGTGTCGTTTTAATCACAACCCACCTCACAACTCCACTTACCACTTCAGAGCCCTACACCTTCACTATGCAGCCCTTCAGCCTACTCTTGAATTCATAGCCATCTCTGCCTCCCATTGTGCTGGGAGTAAATGTGTGTGCACCAAGGCCTGGCTCATGCCCCTTTCTTAAAGGCTACTACACAGACTACTCCTCACCGCACCATTTCCCAGGAGCAGCCGGAATCCTACCCTCAATCCTCCACCTGCCACTTCACAGGATACTCAGAGCCCTCGAACACTGTTGACAATGACAGGACTCCCCCTACCCCAGGTCACTGCCAACTTGGTATTCCAGTGCCTACCTGTCCAGGTGTAAACCATGGACATCAGACTGAACTACACCCAGTGTGCTGGGAATGTCCACCCCTACTTCTTACAAACAAGACTTCCTGCTTTTCAGGATTCCATCCTTTTCAAGGACCAAGCTTCTCTCCAATCATCCACTTTCCTAGAAATATTCAAAGCCTATTTTACAGTCCAAAATTATCAAAATCATGCTGTGGAAGGGAAGAAATGCCAAATGCACCACACGTGTGAGACAGGCAAGGCCAGCCCCACTGCATCTTTCAAGAATTACACTAGACTTCAGGTTATCAAAACGATGGAAGTCTACCTGTTGGTGGGAAAAACATTAATTTGTACAAGGGCTATTGATACTGTTGCACTGTACTGGTTCCCGTGTATAAAGGGTCAGTTTGGCTGCATACTAAGGACTAAGGCCCAGGTAGAGTGAACTTATGTAGCTGATCCAGTCCACAACCCTACCAGTCTACTACCCACTCAGTGACAAGCTTGGAGTTCACACATGAGATTTACCACCGTGTCAGTCAAAAAGAACCTTTATTCTTTGTGTAGCCTTATGCTTTTTTGCCGGCTGCCTTTGGAGCAGGTGCTTTCTGGGCTGGGGTCTTTGGACCCTTCTGACCTTTAGCAGGAGGTGCTGCCTTCTGGCCTGCAGCCTTTTGTGCAGAAGCCTTCTTGCCTGGTCCCGTTGCCTTCTTGGCTGGGACTTTAGCTTTAGCAGCCGCTGCTGCCGCCGCAGCAATGGCAGCTTTAGCAACAGCTGCCTTTTTGGGAGAAGCTTTCAGGATAGCGGCTCTTTGAAGTTTCTTTACTTCAGTCTTGATTATTCTGTTCCTCTGAAAAAACACAGGAAAGCATTTGCTACGGGCTCACACAGAGTAAGTCTTATGTCCCATTGTTAAAAATTAAACTGCTTCCACACACATAAATTTAAATGAGGATATTATTTCCAAGACTCAGTCAGGTCATTAAGCCAGGTACTCTTACCCCTGAGCTATCTTGCTAGCCCTAACCTAACAGGAAGTATAAACATCAGTTACACGAACCACCGTGAAATAGGTACTGGGTACCGTTCCCTCATTACCCTGCATCAAATACAAATGTACATCTGAAAACTTACCATTTTCTTTGCCTTCATGACTTTGAAGCGATCAAAGTCTGTCATCTTGGCTTTCTGTTAAAAGAAAAAAACAATTGCTCTCTCCTGACACTTCTCAGCCCCCAACCCCCCCGAACTCAAAGCTCTGTCCTTACCCTTTCTCTGGCATCAATTTTCTTGGCCCATCTTGTGGCTGCCCACTTCGTATTGATGTCCGCCTTCTCCCATGCTCTCCGCACATACTTCTGGCGGGCACTGTGAGAGCAAAGCCACACACTGCTGAATCAGCTTTATGTCAGGTCATGTCAAAAAGATATTTCAGACTCAAAGTCCCCTCTGAGCACACTTGCCACTGCTCGCATACCTTTGTATAAAACCAAGTCCTCTTGTAACTAACAAAAGCAGCTCCTTACACCTGCTGTATTTTGACAATTAACTTGGCCAAGTTTCTTAACCACCAAAAACCTCACTGCTGCTGTGAACCCTAGACTCACCTGTAGTCACTCCAGTTCATGGTGACCATGACTACTTCACTAGCACCCCTGAATGGGGTACTAGTTCAGTGGTAGCTCATTACAGCAGGTGCTTAGTTGTACCAATCACTGCTGACAACCACAGCATGGCAGGACAGTCTTAATCTGCAACACTTCCCCCCAAACAATTGCTGTTGCCCTTTTTTTTTTTGCTTTTTAGAGACAGGGTTTCTCTGTGTGGCCCTGGCTGGCCTTGAACTCAGAAATCTAAGTCTCTGCCTCCCAAGTGCTGGGATTAAAGGTGTGTGCCACCACCACCACCACCACCCGGCGCCTTCATTTTATGTTAAACACTTTGTAGCCAACACACAAGTCCATCAAATCACACATTTTTGCACATCTAAGGCAGTGAGCATGGCAGCACACACCAACCCCATCACTAAGGGAAGCCCACACAGACTGCAAGTTTGGGACCAATTTGGGCTACAGGAGGGAATTTTCACTGAACTTACTGTATGGAGGAAAAAAAGACCCAAACAGGAACTTTAATAATGGCAAAATGATCTGGGCAATTTTAAATAAATAAGGTCTGTTTGTTAAAGATAGACCCCTTTTCTCAGTTGTTCCAGACTGTTCTGTATTGTCTGTGTATTCAAGGGGAGACTGTGGCACCAAACTCAAAAACAACTTAGAACTGGGTGTTACCTGTGTGGGAACTTGAGGATGAAGTCAGTGAGCTGCATGCACTTGAAAGGCATGGCCTGCCTCCTCACCCGAGTGCAGGGTCCATCCACTAAGGCCTAGAATACAAAACCGAGGATCTCAGACAGGCACCTAAAGTTCAAGATGGCTGTAACCTCTATGTAACTTCTAGCCCTTTCTGTACTATTCAAATAAAGCCAGTGTGCATTCTGTGAACCCAATATCCTAAACACCTCCATTGTGTTTTTTTTTCAGACATGATCAAGTACCTCAGGCTGGTGGCAAAGCCCTGGTTCTCCTACCTTATCCTCCCAGAGCCTGAGGTAAGAGGAGCCACCACACCTATCTTTAGGGCTACGGAATGACTCCAGCAGCTCTAGCAAGCACTCTATCAACAGAGCTATACCTCCAGCCCCACTCTAGTCTTTTTAGTTACCTCATTTAAAATCACCTGCAGTTGTCTGCCTAGTTTAACTAGTAAACTAGTCTTGTAAGGTGAGGTAACTCTTACCCTGTAATTCAAACCCTGTGCCCAGAGCTTCCTCAAAAATAAAGCTGTATAGTCTAAAGATCTCCAACCCAAAGACCACACTGTAGCTACCCTGAGTCCCATCTGTGGAGCTGTCAATCTTAATGGCCACGTTAAATAAAAGACTGTAAAATACTCCGTCCCACACGTACCCTGTTCTGATCAATAACATCTACAATTGCGACCAGCTTTCCAGCATGGGGCCCAAAGGAAACGTAGGCCACCCGGCCTACCTCCACGTAACGCCTGAACACCTAAAACACGAAAAGAAACAAGGGTTGGCTTTAAACACTCCAAGTCCGCTGTTTACCGTCAACATAGGGCTCGGAGCCGCCCTGGGGGCCGAATTTGAACTTAGGAACCAGCATTTTCTAACTTCAAGAGTCCCGTTGCGACTTTCCCTGGATTCGCTCTTACCCATGTTTGATATTCCACTTTAGTTTTCATACAATTAACTCATTGTTTGGCTGACCCACGCCCCGGTTCACTTTTTCCGGAGAGAAAGGACTGAAGGGAGCCGCGAGACGCCAGGCCGCCGGGGAGGACGGAGGCCGCAGAGGCGCCGCCATCCCCGAACCTCAGGCCCGGCCACTCCCGCCACTGCGCACGCGAGGCCCCGGCAGAGCCATCCACGTGAGCCGCGCTCCCCGCGAGCTGCATTCCGCGCCCCGCCACCTCCCCACACCCAGCCCGGGTTGCGCAGAGGCACTCCATGCTGGGGCTCGCCCGCCCGGGGCGGAAAACAAGCGTCCCGACGGCCGCGTTCGGAGCACTCGGCACACACACTCACCATCTTGGCGGCGCTCAGAGAGAAGAGAGAAGGCCTGCCCTGCCGTGCGCATGTGCCGGCGGAAGCCCCGCCCCTGACGTCCAGCGTGCCCACCGATTGGTCGACGAGGACGTGCGTGCCTTTACGCATGCTCAGTGGGTAATGACATGCGGTGCCGGCTCTGTGCGGGTTGTTCCTTCTCAGATACGTGCTGTGAGATTGGCATTGTAATTTCTCCTTTCTTATTTGTTTGGGTTTGGGATTTTTGAGACAAGGTCTTTCAGTGTTGGCCTTCCACTCTGTATAATCCAGGCAGTCTCGCTCGCAGCAATGCTCCTGCCTCAGTCTCCCAAATGCTGACATGACAGGGTGGTCACGCCTGAGATCTTTAGGGATAAGAAGGACTCAGAGGCCGATCTTTGCGTCCGAACTGTCTGAAGCCCACTTCCCCTTTCTTCTGTATACGTAGGATGTAAGTATGATACAGCTGAGTGTGCTGTCGCTCGCCCTTAATCCCAGCACTCGTGAGGCAGAGGCGGAAGCAAGTCTGGATTTAAGGCCTCTTGCCCTGTCAGGGATACATACTGAGACTCTCTTAAAGAACAAAGATACCGGTCACTTGGAACAAAAGAAGGCCGCGGTTGGATCCAGAATCCCAGATCTTAGAGTTTCATGCTTCCATTACAAAGCCTTATGTTGAATCCTTTGGGAAGAAAGGATTCTCCACCCTCTTACGGTTTTTGTTTTGCATTTAATTATTTACTTGTTTGCCCATATGTGTTTCTGTAAGGGAGCGAGGGCCACTGGGTGTCAGTACTTGTGGGAATTGGTTTTCTGCTTCCACATCGAAGGTCCCTTGGGTTATCAGACCTGGCAGCAAGCAACTTCACCCACTGAGCCAGATCACTGGCCCAAATTATAATTGTTGGAGACATGAAGAAGAGTGACCATAACAGTACTTTTTCTGTTGTTGTTTTGTTAGGTTAAGTTTGTCTCGAGACAGGGTCTCTACGTAATCCTGGCTATCCTAGAACTAGGTATACCAAGCTAGCCTCGAACTCAGAGATCCACCTGCCTCTGCCTCCCAAGTCCTGCTATTAAAAGCATAGGTGACCGTGCCTGGCCCTTTTAATTTTTCTAATAGTACATTATATACAGTGGAAACTATAGAGACCCCTACACAAGAGAATGGATAACTTTTGGTAGTCTGCAACCAGGAGACTTTGGAACAATGCAGGTGAGATTCACACAGAACCCTAAGTGAAGTAGACAGATGTGAAGAGTATATGCTTCACAAAAAATTCACGGCTGGCCAGATCTTGAATGTCAGAAGTATGGATTGTGGCTCTGGGAGGTGACTTAGTGGGTAAAACACTTATCAATACGTCAAAACTTCAAATCTCTAACACTCACATACATGTGCTGATTTCTTAACACACACGTACATGTGCTATATGCTGTGGTGGCCTGTCTGTAATCCTAGCTCTCAGGAGCCTGAGGCAGTTGGATCCTAGGAACTCACTGACCAAAGAACTTGGTGAGTTCTAGGTTCAACAACTGTGATGATATATGTTCTGCCCAGGGAGTGGTATGATTAGAAGGTATAGCCTTGTTGGAATAGGGGTGTCACTGTGGGTGTGGGCTTTAAGACCCTCATCCTATCTGCCTGGAAGCTAGTCTTCCACTAACAGCCTTCAGATGAAGATGTAGAACTCTCAGCTCTTCCTCAACCATGCCTGCCTAGAAGCTACCATGCTCTTGCCTTGATGATAATGGACTGAACCTCTGAGCCTGTAAGCCAGCCCCAGTTAAATGTTGTCCTTAAAAGAGTTGCCTAGAGCCGGGCAGTGGTGGTGCATGCCTTTAATCCCAGCATTTGGGAGGCAGAGGCAGGCGGATTTCTGAGTTCGAGGCGGGCCTGGTCTACAGAGTGAGTTTCAGGACAGCCAGGGCTTACACAGAGAAACCCTGTCTCGAAAAACAAAAAAAACAAAAAAAAAAACAAAAACAAAAAAAAAGATTTATCTTATTTATATGAGTACACTGTAGCAGAAGAGGGCATCAGACCCCTTTACAGATGGTTGTGAGCCACCACGTGGTTGCTGGGAATTGAACTCAGGACCTTTGGAAGAACAGTCTGTGCACTTACCACTGAACCATTTCTCCAGCCCTTCACCTCACTTTTTGTTTTGTTTTGTTTTTCTCTGTGCTGGGAATTAAAGGTGTGCACCAACACTGCCCGGGTAATCTTAAAATAAAAAAAAAAAAAAAGTGAGGTGAAGAGCCATGGGGGAAGATGAAAACTGGCTTTTACGGCAATGCACACACAACCGAGTGTGCACACACATTGAACGTGGGAACAAGCAAGCAAAAAAGCACAATAACAAAGCAAACTAGCATCAGTCTTGCTTTTCTGTGGTTCAGGCTGCTAGAGTGTATCAGGTTTCTGAGTTCCTGGTCATGCTGTCCCTCACCGTGCCAGTTCAGTACTGGAGTGTTTGTTTTGTGCAGACAAAGATCTTAGGCTGACACGGGTGTCCTTTTTTCTCCAACTGTGTATTAACTTAAAAAAATTTTAAGGAGAAAAAAAAATAACTTTTCTCCCTAATAAGAGTTCCCTGGTCATATTGCCAGAGAACTGGGTGTGGCAGGTAGGGGTGGGGTGGTTGAGACAGTTTAAAATCCAATGGAAGAATGAACACACTTTGAGAAACACTGGGGAAATCCTTCAGTTTACAGGACTTTTTCAGAAGTGTGCAGTTGAATTTTGTCACCCCATTCCCATCCCTCCTGAGTTCACTTTTACCCCCCAACCTACAGGAGGCACAGTATAGCCAGGCATCCAAGGCCCTCCACTGATTTTGTTGTTGTTTTGTTTTTCAGAACAGGTTTCTCTGTGTAACAGCCCTGGCTGCACAAAGCCCTGGCTTTGTAGAGCAGGTTGGCCTCGAACTCATAAAGATCCACCTGCCTCTGCCTCCCAAGTACTAGAGTTAAAGGCTTTGCCACTACTCTGCTACTCTTCTGTTTTTTGTTTGTTTGTTTTGTTTTAAGATTTATTTATTTATTTATTTATGTGTATGAGTACACCATTGCTCTCTTCAGACACACCAGAGGAGGACATCAGACCCCTTTAAGATGGTTGTGAGCCACCATGTGGTTCCTGAGACTTGAACTCAGGACCTCTGGAAGAGCAGTCGCTGAGCCATCTCTCCAGGCCCACTTCGGGGTTTTAACATTCTGTTTTTTCCTCCTTGAGAGACAGGGCACATCTTTGAAGAGCTATCTTAGGACCCTTCCTGAGAGGCATCAGGCTGCATCAGGTTTCTATGAGTTCTGTTTCATGGACGAGGTAACTTTTCCAAGCAAGACTTGCTTTGCACTAATCAAGAGGTTCTCAACCTGTGGTTCTGGACCCCTTTCACAAGGTTCACCTCAGACCATTGGAAAACACAGATATTTACAATTCACAACAGTAGCAAAATAACAGTTACAAAGTAGCAACGAAAATAATTTTATGGTCAGGTCACTGCAACATGAGTTAAAGGGTCTCAGCATTAGGAAGGTTGAGAACCTTATGAATTGTAATGCAAATATCTGATATGCAGGATATCTGATATGTTATGTGTGACTGACAGATTGAGAACCCCTGCACTAGAATCTAGTGAGAAGGTAATCAAGATTCCCACCGGCTGTAGTGGTCATATCACCTCTAGAATTAAACAAAGCATCACGAGACTCTGGGCAGTCCGATTACTGAAAAGGAAGGTCAAGTTGAGGTTGGCACTGGGAACCAAGATAGCAGCCCCATGCTCTCTGGTTCCTCAGACCTCTGCCCAATGCCCATGAAAAGGCCAGTGAAGGGTTGGAGTAGTTTACAGTACTTTGATCCCCAGTATCCACATCGGGTGGTCCACATCCACCTGCAACTCCAGCCCCAGAGGATCCAATGCCTCTGGCCTTCAGCTGTACATAGACATGAATAAAAACTAAAAAGAGAAAAAGAAAAACGCTGCCCCCTAAATGTGGAAGCACCGGGAGCACTCTCAGAGATTTCAGCAGCCGTCCTTGTCATTGGTTATCTGGTCCCATCCCTTGCTTGTTGCAGAGAGCCAGGTGGAAGTCGTGGGGAAGACAGCAGGCACCCTGCCCAGCTTATCACAGGCCTGATGCCCCCAAACTTCTGCCAACAGCTGCTCTGTGGATGTACCTCGGGTTTCCTACTCACTAGGGATGGAAGCCTCAATTTGGCAGAGGAAACCTTTGAAGCCTCAAAGAGAAAAAGAAAAAAATCAATATCTATGTCAGAAGTGAAACCAAGGCTACCCTGGCCCTGACTGATTTCCTTTAAAAAATATGTAGTCATTTGTATATGAACAGCTGTACACACCCATCCAAATCTGTGGAAGTTAGAGGTCAATGCTGGGTGCCCTACATAGTCCCTAAGTGGCTCACAGCAAAAGTCCTCAAAGCAGTGGCCTGCCCTTCCTTCCAACAACAGCCTATGGCTGTGGTAAGATGCCTCCACAGGGGCTGAGAGAAATGATGGCTCCTGTCAAAATGGTGGCACTGTAACATCTTAGTCTCCAGACTTCACAGGAGCCATCACTGGAGCTATCCATGGCGGTGCATTGCCTTTCCCACCTTGCAGGAGCTACCCCTCAGAAACTGTCCACAGTGGCCACACCTTTTCTACCTCAGCCTACAGCCTTGGCACAGGAACTATCCCACAGGAGCTGTACCACAGGAGCTGCCCACAGTGGCCTCCCCAGCAGCTCCACACAGATGGTGCCTCAGCCAAAGCCTGCTATGGCTGGAAGGACTTCGAACCCTAACCCATGGACCCAACACAGGGAAAAGGGAGTGAAAAAAGCCATCAATTCCTGAATAGGAAAACCCACCAATCCCTGAGCAGGAAAATCCACTAATTCCCGAGTTCCCCAAATTCAGGACTTGAAATCCCCCCATCCTCAATCTAGAAATCTCTGCCCTGTAAAACTCCTAAGAAATCCTATATAAGCCCTGCTCTCTGCTTCTGGGAGCAGAGGGCAGCCATGTCTGGATTCATCCCTCCTTACCTGGGA